AAGTCCTAAAACATATAACAGATGCATTGCTATATGCTAAACCAAAACACATTTTACTCTAACAAAAAAGAAAGCGTCCAGTATTAGAAAGAATTAAAGAACTATGAGGGAACATAGCAATCTTTATACTATGAGCAAATATATAATTCAGTCTAACACAGTGAAAAATACCAAAAGTGTAATTTCCTGGACCTTTAAATAGATACAACTTGCTATATATAGTTAAAATCCCAACTCACATGGTGATGTAAAAGGACCAATCTAACTAACCACAACTGCTTTTGATTCATATATTGCTAAAAAAAGAGAAACTTTCCACTGATTTTAAACAAAATCAACTACTCCGTATTACAAAATTTTATTGGTGTTAAAACCATGAATGTTTTAAAAAGAATGCAGACAACTTAAAGAATATCAGTTTACTTGAGTACCTAATACAATCCAGTGGCAAAGACGCAAGGGAAGCCGGCTGAAGTTTCTCATCATGTTGTCCGATAGGAGGGCATCACAATGGCTGCTCCTCACCGTAACCATCATACAAAGACTGGTCTCTGGCGCACCAACCAAGAGGAACAAAAAGAAAACAAACTGAAAAAATCACATCTTTAAACAAACAATTAGAATGCATATGCTAACAGAATATATCAACATGGGAACCCTTTCTCCCATCTTTATTTGATAGTTTTCAGAAGTTGTGAAAATGAAACTAAAAGTAAAGAACACAATATAAATTAAAGGAGCTAATGACTTCAAGAATGTGTGAAATAAACTCTGAAATCGTTCCCACCTGAAAAATCATCTTTATGTATTCATTTGAAGATTCACAACAATACTAAATTAACAAATTAAGTAAAAAAACACCTAGTTAATAACAATCCCACATGATCAGGAGAAGATCTTGGCTAATAATTATTTGATGAAAATGATTTTTGTTGAGCCTAAGCTATTTCTTCTTTGCACAGCTTCTTTTCACTAAGGATAATCCAAATCGTGATAATTCAAAAGGGTGAAGCAAAATAGGCATTTTCTAGAGCACTATCGTCTACCGTTCGGGTGACCTTGACCAAAGCCCAAATTAGTGGTTTTTTACTCAATTAGTACATATAAATTCAAACTTGAATTATGGTTAATTCAAATATGCATAATTGTAAAGGGCATTGAATTGGATTTTATCAAAAATTGAACTTACTATAAAATTCCGAGTTGTGCTATTACTGCCTTCCATTGAAATTCTGCCCAAGAAAGTTTGTGCTTTGGGCACCACCCCGACAACGCAGCAAGCATCCAAAAACACACCCACATTTGTAGGCAAGCAAAGGGAAAAGCCAAACAGCAGCAAAAAGAGTCAAAACAAAAACAGCAGCCCCAAAGAAAAATCAAACAATCAAAGACACATGTTCCACTGCCCAGCCATGAAAAATCAGAAATTCAAATGCTAAAATCCAGTGACCAGCTGGTTTAGACCTCCAAGACCAATTCCAGGTTGTTGGTGGTGTCATATTCATCTTCGCTTAACCATTAGAGCTCCATGAACAAACCAGTAGAAGCTGGACAGTCCAAAACCTTGTTTTTTTCTATCTTACGGGATTTCAGATGAAGAAGTTGGCGAAGCCATACAATTCATGGTTAGTGATGAAGCCCTACAATTCATTGTTGTGCTCCAGGGTCGACAAACCAAATCAAGTTCTCATCAAATTGAAAATAATCAATCTGCTTAAAAAAATTGAATTAAAATTAAAGTCTAAGAATTTCTAAAAATTGAACAAAAGCTGGGTAAATCGACATTCTAAGAATTGGGGGCATCGACAAACCAAAATTGAATAAAAATTAGATATGAATTTTGGAAACAAACCTAGTTCTTGAATCGCTGAAAAATTCAGATTCCCATCCGGGATTCTCGCCAATTATTCGTAAGTCGAAACTTTCTTCCTCCTTTCCTTTAGCGAAGAGTAGACGCGAAAAACTGCATAATTTGGACGAAATAAGGCATGTCATATAGCGAAGAAGAATTGCACCGATCATGATGGTAAACAATGGGTTTTACATTAAAACCCCTGAATACCAAAAACAGAAAGAAGAAAGGGCTGTTAGGGATCTAACTCGCTCTCGGCCTCTCTCTGTTTCGTCCCTCTCTGTTGTCATCCATCCGATGCTACGCATCGGCCCTTGGCTCCTATCCCTGCGTACGAATGCTTGTCTAGTAGAAGACCCGTGCCTGGGAACGAAGTGAGACGGCTATAGTGATATATTGATGCTGGATTTGGAGGATTTGAATTGAGGATTGATTGGGGTTTTTAGATGAACCGATAGACTTCCGGATGAAGTAGCGGTTTTAACTTTGGGCTTCTGTACAGTGTACACTCATGTCTATGTGGGTGATGACTCAAAAAAAAAACAAAGCCACGTACACTTAAACTAACACATGTGGATTGACACATGGTGGCCCAACAATTGATGTACTCTACTTTATATATATACTAGTTTTCTACCCCGTGCTCCACACGGGCTTGGATTACATGCGAGTGTTGTATGAGGTTTTGTAAGAGCCTATTCGAGAATAACTTTAAAGATTAGCATTAGCATTTTAAGGCTATCTACGGACAGCGTTTAGTATGAGCATTTTAAAAAATCTGCACCGTTATAAATTTATCAAAAACACTGACGCTAATATGTAACATTATTCCCAAACAAACCGTAAACGTATTTTTGCCATTTCGGTACTACAAGACAAATCATAATACCTCCAAAATAAAATGAATATAAGGTGGACAAAGTATATAAATACTGTGACGCTTAATGAGTAGTATTTGTAGAAATAATCATATTTGTAAGTACTATAATGCATAAATTTGGTAATAATTTTTCAATAGGTATCCATTACAAATTATCTCTATTTTTGAAAAGGGATTATGGTTGGGAAAAAGTTAAAAATTAGGGATAATATCGTTAAAAATGGTGCCTGGGGTATTTAAGTTTTAATATTTTAATATATTATTACATTTAGAATTTTACATCATGAGGAAGAAGAGTGCAATAATTTTAACCTTCATACTAAAAGATAAAGGAGTGCAACTTTTTTTTAGAAGAATGGACCAATGTCTCTTGTTAATCATGATTCTAAATGTTGCAGCAAAATGAGTACAATGATCTGTGAGTATACCAGATGAACAATGTTCCTTCAAAATTACTCACAAACCTTCATGGTATATTCACCAACCTTGGTGCATTCAAGGTGATTCTACTACACAAATCAGCAAGGTATGCTCCCTTTTTGAAGTGAAGCCTAAAGGTATACCTGAGATTAGCTGGTCAATTCTGTTATTAAATTGGGGCACTTCCTTTACAACAGAATGATTGGGGCTGCAATAGTTATATCTAGCTTCCAACCATTGCAAGTGAAAATGTGAGTGTGGGTTTCACCACCAAACTGCAGCAAACAACAATTGTAAATATAACCTTAAACTTCATCACCAATCAGAAAACAGACACCAATACTTTTGTGCAGCTTTGAATGGAAGACTCTTAAAAGCAATCAAATAAATATAATCAGACTACAAATAGCAAAATACTTAGTTTTTTTAAGCCACACCTCTTTAATATGCATATTGATAAAGAAAAAAATTGGACTCGGGCCGATGGCTAGCTCATAACAAAACCTTATGTGAATATTAAACGGGTTACTATTGTCCATAGTTTATAGTTAAAAATCTATAATTCCAATTTAAAATGGACTAACTCTAACCTTGAATAGGTAATATGAGATGATGACATGAAAATGGCATCAATTATGAGAATGAACTATAAACATAATTTGAGGTGGAGGAAAAGAGGATTTGCCATGATAAAATGGTGGGTAACAGGTGACACAGCGACAAAACAACACTTGAGCAGCATATAACCAACGGGAGTACAGTATTAAACTAATTGGTTTGTGTACCTCTTTGCTTCAACCTCATAAGTTAACACGACATGAATCAAGAATTGAAGAATGATGGAAAATTTATGAATCTTTGGCATATATAAACCGAAAATCTATAATTTAACACAATATGAATCAAGAACAGAACTATGAAAATAGAATATTTATCAAATTGAAGCCAATAGTTCTCAATATTCCATCTTACTACTTAATAAAATTATAAAACTATAATTATGAAATGAAATAAAAACGGGATTGAAAGAATAAGGTCTAGTGTTTACCTTGATGACACATTGAAAGAAGAAGAATGCGTACGGCCTTAGTTAGCAGTGTACGATCATAGTCAATTTGAAAGAATAAGATTCACTGGTGATGTTACTGAGAAAAATAGTAGCATGATCATACGAAATTCTACAATCTTAACTATTATATGAGAGATGAAAAAAGAAAATAAGAGTGAGAAAGGTTCACTAAAAGAGAGGCATAAAAGGATTGAAAAATAAATGTTACATACCATAAAAAATCATTCTACAAATGAAGGAATTTTTCATGGCTATGATGATTGCTGACACTCCAAAAAACAGAATTTGAATCTCTTATATGCATTCACATTGGCTGTGTCATACCCACCAACAGGATCCCACCAATTTGTTCCTACATATCATAGTTATTAAAGGCGCTCGCCTCTCTCGCCTATGGCGCCTCAGGCGACCAGGCGAGCTCTCAGCGCCTCAAGGAAGCCAGGCGAGGCGAGATCCCTAAGGCGGTCGCCTTTCTCGCCTCAATCCCTGCCTCAGGCGTTCGCCTAGCTCGCCCTTCTCGCCTCAATCACTGCCTTAAGGCTTTAGGGTATACAATGCATAATATTTATTCCTATATATTACTCCATAATATACACACACACACACACACACACACATATATATACACATATATACATATACATATACATACATACATACATATATAGTATCAATATTATGTGTTTATACATACATACATGTGTGTGTGCGTGTGTATATGTATATGTATGTATGTATGCATGCATGCATGTTCGCCATTTGACCGCCCGCCCCTCGCCACTCGCCATTAATAACTATGCTACATATCAATACCAATGATAATCAGAGAGCAATTGATATTTAGAATCAGGTAGTATTAAGTTTCTTTTGTCCAATAGCCTAGTACTGAGTAGGAATATTGGGCTTATTAGGTCTGATTTGGATCACCATAAAGCCAAATTTGGAAGTCAAGAAGCAAAATAATATACTCTAGATATGAAAAAACATGGCATGTCAAACCTGGAATCTTGATAAGAGAGGAGTATCTAATAACGGTTTTCATGATACCTCTTGAACTTGAGCGGGTGTGGCCACCTATCTACTACTGATAGCCCAATCAGGTTTGTATGCTTAAAGAATGTTGGACCAATTTAATACCTTTTATGAAAATAAAACTTAAAGAATGCTCAAAAAGTAGGTGTTGTAACTGGAGTGAATTTCAAAGTCAAACTTTAGTTGAGTCCAAGTACACAAATAGTCACTGATTTATAATGATATTTTCAAATTCGAATGCATTGTAAGAATCAGATATGTACCACATATTGCAACTTGTTAGTGCAGCAAGTATTTTCATTGTAGCCCATGATTCAGGTGTCTCTCTCACACAAAGAATGACTTCAAAGCGTTGGAAAGGTTCATATGCAACTTTATCTCCTACAAAGTATAGAAAATACGATGGGTAAAACACATAGCTTTTGGTTTCATTCTATAATTTAACACAGCATGAATGAATAAAAACTATTAAAACATTTAAAGATGCATCATTGGGTTGAAACTTGTATTTCGATGTGAAGACAGTAAAGACAAACAACTAAAGATGCACGTATTAGATCTTGCAACAATAAGTACGTATTAATAGCAGGTAGTATCTTCTATTGGAGATTGATGGAAACGACCAACCTTAATGGAAAAAGGCTACCTAAAATACGTATTTATCACTTTAATGGAGGTTAAAGTCCTAATGACACAACATAACAAATGCTTTAGATGTAAAAAGACATACCTTTTACCACCCCTCTTTTGCAAATTTCTTTAAAATCCTTACAAAAGCAAGCATGTTCTTGTTCTTGTTCGCTTAAAATTAAAGGAAAAAATATTAAACATCAATCTATTAAGAGAAAGGTTTTGTATTAAAAAAACAACAGCCTACACTTTAACAAATACTCAATAACATTCTTAACTAAACTAAGAAACTAATGGCAGCCTATGAACAATAAAAGTTATAGACATGAAATCTTACCAAATTTGTGTGGAGAGATACTTGAATGGGATCAAAGGGGGCATCAAGGAATAGTTTAAAATGATGTAACCTGGAAAAATGTACACTGCCACATCGAAATCCGTGGTAGTAGTGGCCAAAACCATGTTTCAGTAGGCAATCCAGGAATCCATTTTAAACCCACATATGATTAATTATTTATGTATTATATGCATGAATGAGTATCTAATGATGTAAATTTGATGGTTGTATTAAGAAAACCAACTACGTTGCACCCTAAGAAGATGAAGTAAACCACTTATAACACAAAAGAGATAGGCATGTCTATTATATTTATCCAGAATATTAAAACTTATATGGAAATGGATTAGAGAAATAAAAAAACCAAGACTTATGAGTATCAGCTAACACATGGAAGTATTGAGTGCCTCCTGGTATCATATGTTATCGGGAGCAAAACTTCTCTTTCTCTGCTGTCAATTGGCGTTCTCGCCGTGCTCATGTTGTACATGAAGCACAAACATATATAGTATTAAAGAGCTATGAAATATTCAAAATAGGTTGTAAAGACTAAAGAAAAAGTTTCAAATTGATATGTTTTTCATGTGGTGCCTGACTTATTACTTTCTTGGCCCAAAAAGAAGAATCATTAAAAGGTGAGTATGGCAGTAAGAATATGTATGACACAGGTAATGATAAAAGTAAAATCGCAAGCAAATTATGTCAAGCACATGCCTGTCAAAGAGAGGATTTCACTGATCAACCTATAGTTTTTCAAATCTGGCCTCAACCAGTAGCGCATCCACCTTAACCTGTAGGTCTTCTCACATCCCAGCAGCCCTATTTTCATAACATTCAATCAATTCAATCCAGCCAAAACTAAGAATTACTCTACATATTTACCAAATTATCAACAATCAATCTAATTGCTACCTGAAATTTTTACTACAGAATTGAAAAAAATTGAATAGAAAGAAGAAGAAGGAGAAGAAGAAGAAGAAGAATGTAGGTCTAAGGCTTACCTTACTCCCACGTTGAAAGAAGAAGAACATCGAACTACACGGTTTCCTCAAATTGCACAGTGCCATCCTCTTTTTTCTCAAAGAGGTGAGTATTAAAGGAGAGGAGCTGAAGAGATTCATTATCTTGAAGGGTCTGTTTAAATGGTGGAACAACAGAGAAGGTCATCGGAAAGAAGAGAAACATAAACGACAGGCTGTTGATTGCCCCTGCAAACAATTAGAATATTTAGTACCGATTTTGCTAATATTTGCTTATTTCTAATATTTGCTTATTTCTAATATTTGCTAATATTTGCCCTCTTTTTTCTAATATTTGCTTATTTTAATACCGATTATTTAGTTTTCACAAAAATTAAAAAAGTTGTGATATTGAAAAAATGTTTAATATTTTAAAAAAAATTTAAACATATTAATGATTAGCTGATTTTTTTATTTTACTTGTTTTATGTATATATGAATTGTAATACTTTAAAACTATTAATTTTTTGTAATAATTTTAAGTTTAATTTAAATCAAATTTAATTTCATTTACACCAGATCTAATCAGATCAGATCAGATTCAATCAGATCAGATCAGATCCAATCAGATCAGATCAGACCCAATCAGATCAGATCAGATCCAATCAGATCAGATCAGATCAGATCAGATCTAATCAGATCAGACCCAATCAGATCAGATCAGATCAGAACTTCAAAAATTCAGATCAGATTCAATCAGATCAGGCGTACGGAACAGAGCCTAAAGCAACTATTTGGGAGAAGAGAGGTGTAGATAAATGTGCGCAAGGGAGATATATGAATAAACTAAAGCATACCAGAGTCTGTATTCATATGTGTCGTGGCAAAGAATGATCTGAGTCATCAAAAATCATCTATGTCAGCTGCTTCGTCATAATCCACGTGTCAACACCACAGCATAGTTATTAAAGGCGCTCGCCTCTCTCGCCTATGGCGCCTCAGGCGACCAGGCGAGCTCTCAGCGCCTCAAGGAAGCCAGGCGAGGCGAGATCCCTAAGGCGCGCCTAAGGCGGTCGCCTTTCTCGCCTCAATCCCTGCCTCAGCCGTTCGCCTAGCTCGCCTTTCTCGCCTCAATCACTGCCTTAAGGCTTTAGGGTATACAATGCATAATATTTATTCCTATATATTACTCCATAATATATATACACACACACACACACACACACATATATATATACACATATATACATATACATATACATATACATATACATATACATATACATATACATATACATATACATATACATATACATATACATATACATATACATATACATATACATATACATATACATATACATATACATATACATATACATATACATATACATATACATATACATATACATATACATATACATATACATACATACATACATACATATATAGTATCAATATTATGTGTTTATACATACATACATGTGTGTGTGTGTGTGCGTGTGTATATGTATATGTATGTATGTATGCATGCATGCATGTTCGCCATTTGACCGCCCGCCTCTCGCCACGCCTCTCGCCATAAAAAAGGTCCTCTCGCCCGCCCCTCGCCACTCGCCATTAATAACTATGCACCACAGCTAATTAACCCTACTTTATATATATATATATATACATACATATATATATATATATATATATATATATGATGATATGATATGATGCTTTATATAGATAAAAATCAGATCTCTATGCCATAAATTTGAACACCCAATTCCTTCAAAATGCACACAACTAATCCCGAGGCGATTTCCATTACACATGTGATGCATTGCTGCATTTACCTTTCAAAACTTCATTGAAAGTATGAAATATGGGAAGTCTAATGTGTCATTTTGATAAGCTACAACATAGTTGAAATTGACTATTTTATCTCCATTGGCAAGTGAACAAACGCAATAGTAAATGACTGTCTTTTTTTCCACATTATCAAACTTATTATTATAAAATTCATAATATTGAAAATATTTGATGTTGGTAGGCTAATTTATCATTCTCGAATTGAAAAAATGTCAAAAATATTAATTTTCTTAAACGAAAATTAAATCTAAATAATGAATTAAAGCCATACTACCTTGACTGGGCCTAGGGTTTGAATCGATCGTATCTAATAGATGCCGAGATTCAAAAGCAATCCGGGGATGACGAAGTAGGGCAGGCGAGAAAGAGAGAGAATTCGCAGCAGTGTACCTTATTTCGGAGATGATGAAGCAGGGCGAGCGAGCGATCGTCAATCCAAATTCGCACCCTCAAAAGCACCATAAGTCGTCGTCCTAAACAGGGCCTGGGGTTTAAAGCCCTTGGCCGGCGATGATCTTGTGGAAGCCAGCCACTTGATTCATAAGCATCGTCAATCACCTTCATTGTTTATTAATGGAAGACGTGGATGAGAGGAAAGAAATACGGAGTATGAAAAAGATGACAGGGGTGTGGAAAGAGATATGAACGGCGACCTGGGTGAAAAAGACCCTGCTTTAGATATTTCAACGGCTTTGATTTTGAAGCTTGGAATTCAGGACTTCATTTCCAATTCTAGTGTTTAGTAGCTTAAATATTATGTGGATTTGGAATTGATAGTGCAAAATAAGAATTGTAATTGGTGAATTCAATTTTATGGAATTGAATCTCATGAAGAAAGATTAGTTGGAGTGGTAAGTGTTGGGTGTGTGATTAGGTTAGACTTAGTTGCGTTTAGGCTATTGAGTTGGGTTAATTGTTTTAATTTATTTGGGTAGAGAATGTTAAGAAAGTTTTGGGCTTTGCATTACTCCGTATATTTAGCCTAATTTATAGGAGTATTTTACATTAACTTTATTAAATTCTAATTTTTAAAAAAATTAAAGCATTGAATTACTTGACCCTAATTTGGCATTATAAAATATTTCCAATTACTATTTTTTTTTACTACGTATATGTTTTAATAAATAAATTATATTTATATATATATAGTTAAAAAGAGTGGTTGAAATTTGTTAAGAGTAAAGAGAAATATTGTGGATCACATATTCCTTATTTTGATAGAAAAGTAAAAGCGAGATAGTTTTTTTTGCAGTAACTGAAAAAGAAAGTGAGATAATTAATTTGGGACTAATGGGGTATTAAATTAGATTAAATGTCGCTTGTTATTTAGGACTTTCTCATGAAGTTCTAGATGTAATCAAATGTAATCTACATACAGTAGTGATTTTTTATATCATTTTGTTATTAACTATTCATAATTATGAGTTTGAGTACAATAACTATTAACAAAAGTTAAGAGTAATCATTGACATATGTTGGATTGTTACTCAATATACATGTACTTAGTTATTGTTAAGTATATGTTAGGAGTTTCACATGTAACAAATCACAATGACTATAGATTTTGATTTGCCATTAGAATCTTCCAATGTCCAACCAAATAACACATGTAGTTTACAATGAAGCTATTTAAACTTTTAAATTTGTCTATAGATGAGTCATGTAACTTATATTTCCAAAATATTAATAATATATTCTTCTTTGATCATTGATATATATAGCAATATACCAATGGATTAACAATTCAAGTTTTAATTTCTACTTTATTATTTTGGTATGTTATTTCAATTTTTTGAGTAAATAATTAGTCGGTTTAATGCACGGGTATGAGGGTAATAGTAGTTTATGACGGGTGGGGTTTGACTAGGGACTAGAATAGATTGTTTCCCACTTTGTGACTTTGATATAGAATCTAACATTCCCAATTTTTGTCGCTCAATATACCACTCATAACATCGAGATTTTACCAAACACTGATGATTTCCAAGTAAATACATAGTCGATCTCTCTCTCTATGTTTACCTCTATCCTCGGCGACGGTTCTTCGAAGGACGGATATGATAAGATTTTTATTAAGGAATTGTCAGCGAATGTCATGTGGCGAGTAAATGACCACGATACATACATACATAAATAAATGCATACATACATACATACATACATACATATATATATATATATATATATATATTAGGGTTATTTTATGCGTTGGTTGACCACTAATGACTTGGGCCGATTGGACAGGGTTGAGTTATTTTTTATTATTTAATTAGGGTCGTTTTATTGTTATTTTATTTAACATATTTAAAAACTTTTTTAATAAAATTCTATTGGAAATAATATATTTTTATAAATTATAAGTTATTGTATTTATTGTACAATTAAAGAAGGAATTGGAAGTTTTGTGAGTCCATGTTACAAGTGCAAGAGTAATCGAGACTCTGGATATGTATTGAAAATGTTGTAGCGTACGTGGTCATTTATTGTGCTTACAAATTGGTGAGTGGGATGTGGATTATTTTTTGTTTGTGATGATTGTGTCATAGTGACACCACTTGCACCGTGCTGATCTGAATGTGTTAAAATTCCAAACAAATTTTTTTTTAACGATCATTATGTTTTTGTTTGAAAATTTCACTATGATTCTTTTAAGCCTAAATGTTGGCTACTTTTTCTTTGTATGGTACTAAGTGTTGTATTTAGGTGCCATAACGGCAATCAAATACCTATATAACTGTATACTTTATCATTAATGAAAGGCCTTGAAGTATGTTTTATATCTCGTGTAACATAACATAGCTTCAGTCCATAGACGATAGCGCTTCGGTAACATAGATGAGGACTACGATGTTCTGATTATGAGACTGTTACTTCTTGACGAAGGCTATGTCTAGAATATCCCTAGTCGCACTTTATGATAATACGGACATCATAACGTATCAAGACTAGTATGTTAGACAAATGTGCAACTCTAGAGGAGGGGGGGGGTGAATAGAGTTGTTTTCAAGAATGTGCGTTTTTCGCGCGTGTGAAATAATAAAATCGCAGGAATGAATAAAGAGAGTAAGGGAAAGAAGAACACCGAGATTTATACTGGTTCACCACCTCGTGGCTAGTCCAGTCCTCCGAGAGACTCTCTCGAAAGTCCTACTAATCTTCAAGCTTCAACGGGTGCTTGAAAAACCGGTACAACTTGAGAACTTGAATCTCACAAGCCTCACTTTCTTACAACAACAAGACTTGAGTCACACAGGTCTTAAGAACAATACTCAAATGAGATTGAGTTTACAACACAAGAATCAAAGCTCACACAATTGAGCAAAGTAGTGTTGAAGAATTAAAGCTCTATGGATGACAAAATCTTTAGCACTCAAAGAAAATATTTCTAACTCTCAAAAATAATATTTTGATGAGGAAGATGAAGCAAAGGATTAATATAGCACAAAGAATATATTGGAGTGCAAGAGATGTGTATAGAAATGAAGGAGAATGAGAGATTAATCGATTAAACTGAAGAAAATAATCGATTGGGTGAATCTGTGCTAACAAATCGATTAAATGAAGAAAATTAATCGATTATTGGGCGATCCTGGGAATCCAACTAGAAGTGTATTAATCGATTAAAAAGGAAGAGAAAATCGATTAATTTCAAAATACCGTGGAAACATAAAGGGCCCAAGCCTATTTGCGATTGAAGCCTTTGGTTTCATACGATTTGAGACAACGGGAATCAATGCACGCTCATTGATAACCCTTATTCAATGAATTTGAATAGGGGAGAAAAAGAGTCCAAAAATTATTTTGTGTGTCAAACGATGTACAGAAAAATATTTAAAGTATATTTTTCTTACCAAAAAAAAGTGTGTAATCTTTAAAAATATTTTTAAGAAATTTTGGCACACTTATTTTGACTGACTCAGTAAAATATTTTTGGACAGTGAAAAAATAATTTTTCAACTCACTCAAGAAATAATAATTTTTATCCCTCAGAAATTAATTTTGTTTATGCAAAAATTATTGTCATCCTTACAGGAAACCTAGACTCAATAAAAAATAAAAAAGGTCTTCGGAGTCTTCACTTCACTTCAAAAAAATCTGCGTAGGGGTGTTCGTCAATTTTGATCGCTGTAAACTTCTTGATACCCTTCTTTGCTTTTCTCGATACGAAAAATAAATTTTCGAATATCGATTGAATTTAATCATCCTGTTTGTCATTTATCAAAACAAAAAATATTCCAAACAATAATAAAGGGGTTTGAACTCATGTCCAACATAGTACATATGAGATGATATAGTTGCGTCTCATAGACTATAGGTATTGTGATATCTTAATCTGTACGTAGGTGCATATTATATCGATAATATGTGACTGGATTGACCCATCTTGAGAATACTGCATGGATCTAAAGTAATGTGTTTATCAGTATTCTCAATTCGACCTTGCTATAACTATCCTCAGACTTGAAGTTATTACATTCTCTGATATGTGGGGCCGTATGCTTTGATTCATAACTAATGCTATCTGAAATACTGGTAGACATACAGTTATGCGTTGGGTATACCGCTAAGCATATTTAGAAATGTGAATAACAGATACAGGATCTGTCCCTTCTACTGTATAGAAGTTTAATGTCAATGGGCCCACTGAATAGTAGGACTTGGGAAAATGCATGGCCATGCCCAGATATGTCGCTATCCAGAGACTGATAAATATCTGATCCCTGCCAGTCTACTTGAGATTCAGTAACAGCTGATTTAACTATACAAGGATACACATCCCATGCCTTGTGTTAAATTATGACATTAAGGAGAGAAGGATAATAGTTATAGAACGTCTTGTGTCGTAGAAGGTATTGATGAGATGAACGTCTTTTTCATAATCTGGGGGTAATAATGTGTTGCTAGATACCGCTTATTTTTTTGAAGTAAAAAAAAAATAAGCGGTATCTAGCAACACATTATTACTTATGGTATTAATTTATATTAATATCATTGCAAGTGTTATGGATACGTAAAGGGTCACACACTTAGGACTTGTAAGGGAGTAGTATACTATACTAGTGGGAGTAATATTAAATATATAGTTGTGATAATTATATATATATATATATATATATATATATGTATTTCGAAAATATATATGTAATTTAAAATTATATTTTGTTTGTGTCATTTTAATTATATGATAATTATATTTTGACAAAACAAATTCAATCCATATTCGATAATTATATATATATATATATATATATATATAATTTTATTTTTCATCATTTTAATTATATGATAATTATTGATGTCAAAAATAAAATATGATATATTTCAAATATGGGATGACCGAAAATTTTAAGAAGAAAAATCCAAGACCATTTTGATTTGACACATAAAGTATTTTTAATGTCAAATTGAGATATTTGATTATTATTTGATGTAGGGATTCTATTTTGTTTGGTAGCTAAGATATTAAACATTTACACATGGTTTTAAGACATATACATGGACTTATGTTTAACATTAATTTCCTAGCAATTTCCTAAATATACTTTATTATAAAATGAGGTCTTGATTTTTAATATACACACCACAACTTTCGGCCATCCCATTTTAGAGAGAAGAAAATTTTATTTTGTGTTCAAAGTTATTTTTCTAAAGTGTTAGAAATATACACAAAATATTATAAACAAATATTTATAAGATAAATATTTTACTATATATTTATTACTCCCAAAGTAGTATTATTATAGTTTTTACTATCCTATATTAAACTTGCTAGCACAAGTTTAATCTAGGACTCCGGAGCAAGTTCGTGTGGATACGTTGGAGGCTTCATACGTTTGGCGCTACGTTCATCTCCTCAAAACCATCCTCGGCCGTTTCTCCGTTCTCCATTTTTCACCGCTAAGGTAAATTTCTTACTATAGCTAGGAATTTACGTAAGTTGTTCTTGGGTGGAATCGAGTTTTGGACTCTAAATTTTTGTTTTCCGCTGCGTTATCCAAGCCTCGTTTCCCAACAGTGGTATCAAAGCCGGATTACGAAGTTACTAGTTTAGTAGTTTTTACCGTTATTGTTTTTGTAGATTAGTCAATAAATTTTGGAGACAAAAATTTATCCCATTATAAAATTTAATTAGGTGGCCATATTTAGATACTGGACCTAATATAGTTTTGTTTAGTAATTTTCGGAATTACTGTTTGGGGTATTTTTATATTATTCTTATTAAGTAGTTTATGTGTAGAATACTTGTTATTTGTGCCATAAATACTTAATATTTATGAAAATTAGATTTTATATTTTCTGGGATATATTTGACATATCAATATAACTCAGAAATTTTAAAATCGATTTTTGGAATTAATTTCGTATTTTTCTATTTTTAAATTCGTTTATTGAATAGAAAATAGGAAAACTTATTTTTGACGATAAAAAATTAATTTTAATTCATAATAAGTTGCGACCAGATATTTTAAGCTTGTATAAAAATGTTCATAATTTTTAAGCACGTAAAAGTATTTATTTTGTATTTTTGAAGTAGTTGATCGGTACTATTCACTAGTCCGATTTTTAATTATTTTAAATTGCAAAATTAATATTTTAAATTCTGGAAAAATCATATTATGGAACTTATTTTTGACTTGAAAAATAAATTTTGATATTTTTGGAATTTCGAAATATATTTTCACAATATCATTTTGGTTTTCTAGCTATAAAAAATGGTTTTCTGTTGTAAAATGAGAGAAAAACTACTCCGAGATTATGAGAATAGATATAATATATTTCTGATTTCTTCTCTCTATTAACTCTTCACTCTTCTTCTTATTCTTAATGGTGATTACATTGCAGGGATTAGGCCTCTATTTATAGTAGAGAGCCTTGGTATGGATATAAATACAAGTGGGAAGTACTGTACATAATTGATACTCATCAATGAGTGTCTTAATCTATTATTCTAGAAATTAGTCCTGATTAATTGAATAAATGAACAATCATTAATTTCATAACACTCCCCCTTGAATGTTCATTTTCAATTAATGATGAGTACTTCGTGAAATGGACATAGTTTAGTAACCCATTCTAATTTTATGTACTGCCTCGTTAAAAACCTTGTCAGGAAAAACCCAGTGGGATAAAAACCTGATCAAGGGAAAAAGAGTACAGTTCATAAAATTCTCCCCCTCAGCTTAGCATAATTGACGGAGGCGACGCATGCCAATCTTGTGTACGAGTTCTTCAAATTTCTTCGGGGGTAACGCTTTTGTAAATAAATCAGTGAGATTCTCACTGGACTTGATTTGTTGATGTCAACTTTTCCATGTTTCTCGAGATCATGTGTTGAGAAGAACTTTGGTGATATACGCTTTGTTCGGTCTCCTTTGATGTAACCTCCTTTCACTTGAGCAATGCATGCAGTATTGTCTTCATATATAGGAGTCAGATGACTAGTAATTGTTTCTATACCGCACCCACTCTGGATATGTTGGATCATTGATCGCAACCATACACATTCTCTACCTGTTTCGTAGAGAGCTATCAACTCCGCGTGATTTGATGATGTGGCAGTCAAAGTTTGTTTCATCGATCTCCATGATATTGCAGTATCTCCATAAGTAAACACATATCCTGTTTGAGATTTTGCTTTTTGCGGATCAGACAAATATCCTGCATCAGCGTATCCAACAAGAGTGGCCTTGGCATCTTTGCGGTAGAATAAACCAAGGTCGATGGTACCATTGAGATATCGCAAAATGTGTTTAATGCCATTCCAATGCCTCCTAGTCGGGGTCGAGCTGTGTCTGGCTAACAAGTTCACTGAGAATGCAATATCTGG